GCGGGCGGTGCTGGCCAGGCTGGGAGTCGCAGTGCAGAGGCCTGGAGCTGCGGAGACCACCTCGAGTCCGACGGGGGCGTGGACTGGGAGTTCGGCAACTCCTTCTCGGCCGCCAGACTCACCCTACGCCTTATCCGCTGGGGTCGCCTACTCCAGCGCGGTGGCTAGGGCAGAGGGCGCCGCAAGCTCCGCGACTGGGGCTACCTCAGGTGCTGCGAGTACGAGGCTCCCAGGGGCGGAGGCGCTGGGCGAGCCATCGGCGCCTGGTTGGAGGCTCGACAGCGTCCTGGGGCCGGGCTACCAGTTGCCCGTCAGTGCCCACGCGGAGTCGCTCAAGCACTTCAGGGCTGGTTACGACGAGGACTGGGCGGACGCTGTGCTCGGCCTGTACGGCGACACGGTGGAGGACCCAGTCGAGGTGGACTCAACGGAGGAGGAGGCTCTTCCCCGCATCAGTGAGGATTCTGATCCGTCATCGGCACCACCATCAGAGGAGCGATGCCAGCAGGGAGAGCTGAACCCTAAAGCTGACGCTAAGTATGTGGGGAATCCTAGGGGCCCTCAGAGGCCAACAGGTGAACCCACTGGCTCAGCGTCGTCGCATCAGGCACCCAGCGGAGGCGCAGCCGCTGTGACGCTGGACGTGGCGGCGCTGGAGCCGCAGGGGATGGTGGACTTGCTCTACGGCGAGTTTGCCAAGTTGATGGAGGCCGACCTGCTTGGCCTGTACCACGTGCCGCCGACCGACGCCCACCTGTACGTCGGGCGCGCGGCGGGCCCGAAGTTCGTGGAAAGGGACGTGCTGCTGCCAGGTGGGGGACCGTACCCCAAGGGCTGCCCAGTCTCTGCTCGATGGCGCCGCATCGGGGCCGTCATGTGGGAGATGATGGCAGCTCGCAGGCGCTTGCGCGTGGAGACGGCGATCCCAGCGGCCCTGTCTCAGTTGAAGGGGCTCGCGGCCAAGGCGGGTGCCCTGGCATCGGACGACCTCGGCGGCGACCTGCTCACGGAGGTGGAGGTTCGGAGGTGGAAGCGCCAGCTGCGCACGCTCAGCCACCTCACCTTCCTCGAGTTGGAGAAGCTGGAGCAAGAGGCCAGGGGCTTGGCGGCGAAGCTGGAGGACCGCTGTGGGAAGAAGCGGTGCCATCAGTGGCGCCAGTGGGCGCAGGAGGCGGTGCAGGACGGTGCGGGCGCCGCCCACCGCTACTGCAAGGCGCCGCTGGCCTGGGCCCCAGACCTCGATGGCGAAGGGGGACCAGCAGGCATCTCGGCGACGCTGGACGCGCTGAGGGACGAGTACCAGGAAGTGTGGAGGCACAAGGAGGTGATGCCGCTCGACTTGGACGACGCCCTTCCCTCCGAGCTGCTCGAGGAGGCAGGGGTGGCGCCCACCCCTGAGGCCATCAGGCGGGCGGCGGCGTCGTTCAAGGCGTCGACGGCCACGGGGGTGGACTGCATCAAACCCCAGTCCTTCGGCCACCTCAGCGACGACGGATGGATCGCGCTGGGCTTGGTGCTGCAGGTGCTGGAGGCGACTTGCAGGATCCCAGGGCAGCTCGACACCCTCTGCATCTTCTTCTTGGCCAAGGCCGAAGGCGGGTGGAGACCCATCGGCCTTTTGAGTAGCCTCGTCAGGCTGCTGGGCAGGATACGCCGAGGAGAGGCCCAGGAGTGGGAGCGCCAGCACCCCAGGGACTTCTTCTTCGGCGGCGAGGGCAAGTCATGCGAGGACGCGGTGTGGCTGCAGGCCTTCGACGCGGACTTGGCGACAGCGATGAAGCAACACTCGATGACGTCCATGCTGGACTTGTCCAAGGCCTACGAACGAGTCAGCCATGCAGGGCTGGTGGCAGCAGCCCGAAGGCATGGCTTCAGGTTGAGGCGCTTGAAGCTCATCCTCCGATCGTATGGGGGACGGCGCAGACTCTGTCTGAGCAAGTGGGTCTCGGAGGCCTTCTCGTTGGGGACGTCGATCGTGGCGGGGTGCACCTTCGCAACGACGCTGCTGAAGGTGATGCTCCTCACGGCCATGGACCTCCTCACGCAGTCCTGGCAGAACGTGCGCGCCTACCTGGTCGTGGACGACGTCGCGCTGGCGGTGTACGGGCGGCTGCGCGACGTGGAGTTCGGGGTCTTCGGCGCGACCAGGTGGCTTTGCCAGAGGCTGGAGGAGGACGGCTTCACGATCTCGGTCACCAAGGGGGTGATAGTCTCAAGTGACACCGACGCTGGCAAGAGGACGGCCCACCGCCTCAGGAAGTGGGACTTCAGGCTGAGGCGCGAGGCCAAGATCCTGGGGATTGACTTCAGGCTGGATGGCAAGGCCTCGTGGGGCGTGCTGCGTGGGCGCCTGGGGCGCCTGGCTGTGAAGGCGTCGCGTTACATGCAGCTCCGACGTGCTGGCGCCAAGCTGGGCTCGGTTTTCAGGTGCAGCGGCCTGGCGACCATCCTCTACGGTGCCCGCGTCAGGGGCGTGCCGACCAAGGTCCTTGACAGGGCCAGGACCATCAACGGCCAGGCCATTTCGGGAGCGTGTGGCAAGCGGTGCAGGACCCTGCAGTTCGCGGTCCAGCCTGGGACGGGATGGCGCCGCGACCCCGCCTACGCGGCCAACGGCTTGCCGCTGCTGGGTTGGGCCAAGGCGGTGTTCCAACGGGCCAGGCCCGCGAGCAGCATGGGCGCCGTGTTCAGCGCTGCTCAGCCTGCCCATTGGGGCCAGGTTACTGGACCTGCTGGGGCTGTGCGCCTCAGCCTTGCTCGCATTGGCTGGCGAGCGGAGAGCTGGCACGTCTGGATCACCGACAGGGGCGAGCGCCTCGACCTGGCGGCGCACGGCCCGAAGCTGGTCGGGGTGTGGGTCGAGCGGGGCGTGCACAGGGCGCTGATGCGGACGGTGCCAGCCCACTTCCACGACCAGCTGGAGGGGCCGCCCACCATGTACCCCGTCCGCGCGGCGCTGGACCTGATCAGGGGGCTGGGCGACGCGGAGCAGACGGCGCTGGTGGAGAGCCTCGTGTGCGGGGGCCTCGTCTCGCAGTGCAACCTCTACGGCGAGCGGGTGGCCGTCTCCCCTGAATGCCAATGGTGCGGCTACGGCATGGGCACGCACCACCGCAGGCTGTTCTGCTGCGAGGGGACAGCGACGGTGGCGCGTGACATGGGCCTGGCTGCGGTGCGCGCCGCAGGCGCAGCGGCGGAGGTCACGGACATGGGCTTCGTGCGATGCCTCGTTCCGCTCGGGCTGGAGCAGGCGCCGCAGCCGGCTGCTGCTGAGCGGAGCCTGCGCGCGGGGGCCCTTCGGCGAGCTGGGTTTTCGGGCACAGTGTGCATCGATGGCTCAGCCTTCTTCCCGCAGCTGGTGGAGATCACTCGCACTGGCTGGGCTGGCATCATGGTCACCACCGACGGCCGTGTGGCTGGCGGCGTGCTGGGGACGGTGCCAGGCCTGGTGCAGGAGATCGGGTTTGCCGAGCTGTACGCGCTGCTGATGGTCTTGCGTGAGGCCGATGGCGACCTGGAGATCATCACGGACTGCAGGAACGTGGTGGACAGCTTCGAGAAGGGCGAGCTGTGGTGCACCAGCCCAGAGTCCAAGTACGCGGAGCTCTGGAGCGAGGTGTGGACGCGAGCCCGCGACATGCCTGGATCGCTGGTCCTCCGCTGGACCCGCGCCCACACCAGCTGGGCAGCGGCGGAGGCGGCTGGCGTGCCAGCCCACTGGCACTTCGGCAACCAGGAGGCCGACGCGCGCGCCAAAGAGGGCGCCAGGCTGCACAGGGACTTCGAGGAGGTGGAGGAGCTCGCCACCCGTGTGAGCTCGGCGGTGGAGGCGAGCAAGCAGCTCCTCCGCCATCATGGCGCAGTGCTGAAAAGTGTCGCTGGCGCGGGCTGGCCCGATCGGAGTCCTCTTCCCCGTCCCTGCCCCCAGCAGGTCCTCTCCCTTGTGGCGAACCCTAATGGGCACGTCTTGGGCTGTCTTGGGAGGACCTGGGGATGTGGCATCTGTGGGGTAAGAAATGGGCTCCGATCTCGTATAGTCAGCCACCCGTGCCCTGGTGTGCCTAGGCCCGCGGCGATCGCACATCCCTCCCATAGGCTGTGGGTGGTTCGGCGTGGGCGCGGGACTGGAGGGTGGGACGGTCGGGGCCTTGGGGGGGACGAGGCGATCGTTTTCTGCAAGCTCTGCGGGGCATACGCCCGTCGGCAGACCCTTCTGCTGGGCGTGCCCTGTCGTCCCTGGTCCAGACGTCCCAGGGACTCGGTCCGTTTGGGGAGGCTCGCCCTGGACCGTCTCCGTGCTGGTCGGGAACCCCAGGGCAACGTTTACTGGGGGCTCCCGTTTCCGCTCGCCCGTGGTTCGGCCCCTGGTCCGAAAGCGGTCGAGGGAACCGTATCTTGTGTTTCGTGGGCACCACCTGCCCGTGGTGGCGGAGCCGCGCCCGTTTCCCTGGTGCCCCGAGGTTCTGAGGTGTCTTGGCCTTGACCTCGGAGGCGGGTCCTGCCACTGAGCAGGTGAGCGAGTCATGGCAGAGCTGGACTCGCTTGGTAGGATACCTGAGGATACCTGAGGAGGAGGAGGAGGAGGTCGGTGAGGAGTGGCAGGAAGACGCAGATAAGTGGTGCATGATCATAATTACAATGACGACGATGACGTCGGCGATAACAACGACGACGATTGTAACAACGACGACGATGACGATGATGTTGCTGAGGAATAGGATGATGGTGATGATGAGCATGACGAGGGGGAATCATAGAACGAGGAGGAGGGTGAGAAGGGGGATGGGGAAAGGGCTTTAAGGCAACGAGGGGGATGTAGAGGATAATGAGGTTGGAGGAGGAAGCGGAGGGTGGGTAGGAGGAAAAGGATGATGATGAAGATGAGGATGAGGATGAGGAGGAGGAGGAGGAGGAGGAGGAGGAGGAGGAGGAGGAGGAGGAGGAGGAGGAGGAGGAGGAGGAGGAGGACAAGGACTAGGACAAGGACGAGGGGGAGGTGG